TTTTATTAATATTAAATATTTATCTAATTAGAGGTCTTTAGGATTTTGTAATCATCTTCAGTGAGAATTCTGGGGCTTATGGTAAACTTTGATATAATGATATGGTCTCTAAACAAAATTAGCAATAATAAAATCTGAAGTTCTAAAATCACAACTGGTCTTGGAAGATGCCTTTCAACTTATTATTGTTGACATCATCATATGATCGTCACATTCATAGTGTTCTAAAAAGAGTTTTATTTTAACAATTTTAAAATGACATGGTGTTTTGCTCTTAAATGTAAAAGTAGTCCAATTCAACTTAGCAAACCCTGACCACTGGTTTGGCCAGACAGGTGGCCTTTCTTCTGAAACACTGGAAATTCTTTTCCCTTTCACCATGAAATGCATTGAAGATCCCCCGCCCTGCCCTGCACAGCCCCATGCCACATCAATCCTTCCCAGACACCTGAAAACAGCAGGCTTCAGCACCTCCAAGGTGCTATGGCCCTAAATCTGGGAGCAGTTCAGCTGGGCAGCTCTGATGAGGGACTGAAGTCCAGCTATCATAGCAACTGCTCTCCTGTCAAGCCTGGAAGGACCCTCTGGGCACTCACACCTTGCCCCACAGTGCTGCTCTGGCCTGCAGTGACTCCCACAGTGAGCCTACAGGTGCCCACACAGAGACAGACTTTGATGTCCCACAGCCTTTCAATCACTGTTCTCAGAAGACTTCAGGAAAGATGGTCATATACCATCACCTGGAGAGTGGGGACCCTCAGAGGCCATCGTGGGAACTGTCACAGGTGACAACACCTGCCACCTTCCTTATCTACCAACCACATCACCCTAGGACTCAGGCTCAATTGAAATCCCATCTGGTCTGTGTACCCTCACATACTTCTATTGAAAATTGTGATACGTAGAAGACTTTATCCCTGACAATGTGTTGCCTTGAAAGAACAACAACTTGACCTGGAGAAGTAGCTCAGTGATAAAGTGTATGCTTAGCCTGTGCTGTGCGAGGCCGCGGTGGACCCCAGCACTGGGTGGACCCCAGAAAACAAAACTAAATTAACCCTACATCTTGAGTAGCTAAGATAACCCCGCTTTTCTTTTTCACGTGTTTTCATTTTATTTTTATAAGATGAACACTTTAAAAACATAAAATATGTTTTTGCAAACTTTAAAATAATGGAGGTTCTTTTCAAATCATGGTGGATGATGTAGAAATACACTGAAAAAGAACACCTGGAATCTTGTCACCCAGTCGCAGTTCCAGGATAACACACCCCACATTCTTTCATGCATCTTATTCATGAACACACACACACACTTTACACAACAGGTGGGACAACACGTGCCCTAATAGTTTTGCAATCATGGACATGCTTTCTTCCCCTCTTGCTTCTCTTCCCTAGATAAGGCTTCAAATTCCCAACAGACTATGGAAGCATAATCATCAGCAGGTGTATATTCACATACAAACATATAAATATACAATAGATATTGTGTCACTGTTTTTTAATGGGCTTTTATTGATACATTTCCATTGAATTTTATTTTCTTGCTCACTCTGTGAGCTCAGAGATCCTTCTGAGTATCTGGTATAGCTTTAATTCTTTATAATGACTTCTCAATATCCCATGACATTATTTGGATATATTATACTGTATCTGGTATTACCCCAGTTACGGCTACTCTTTGAATAAATGATTCTAAAAATACCCATGTATATACATCCTTGTGCACTGGCATTTCTATTTCTATGGGAATGTTCCCAGAAGTAGAATTCCTGAGAGGGCAGACAGTTTTTAATTTTAATAGATGTCATTCCAAAGAAGTCACAACACTGCACATTTCTACCAGCCAGGCACAAGAGTGCTGTTTTGTAAACTTCCTGTGCACCAAAAGAGGTTCAAGTGCTTTTTAGTCTTTGATAGCCTGATGGGTGTTTTACACAAACTGAATGCCCGTTCACCTTTACTGTGGGCACAATTGCTTATTGTCAATAAAAGTGTGATATGTTAGTTGTAAAAGTTTTATAGTGATTGATGTGAACTAACACCTCTCAACCATGGCTTTTATCAAAGAAAATATTTTTTCCAATCAGAGAATCTTGATTAGGGACCTAATGTTGGAACTCACAACTCCAACAAGATTTATGCCACCAAGTCAGGGCAGCAAGCTGCCTGGTTGCACCACACAGACCTGGCTCTTGGCAGTGGAGGGCTGGGTTCTATGCTTTGGGCAGTGGAAGACCCCTCCTGGCTGATCTTAGGAGGAGATCTGAGTTTGCACACGCAGTTGTGGGTCTCCTCCTGAGGACCCCAGTAAACCCCCCTCTGATGCTCAAATGCCAACTGTGAGATTCACTCATCCGAGTCAACCTCCTAAGGGCTTCCATTTTTCTCCAAACTGCTTCCTTCTATGTTGAGACTTATGCTTGCTTTACCTTGACTGACAACCAGGACACCAGGCTCTTCTGCCTCTGCCTCCATGAGGACCTCAAGGGTCTTAAGAACTCAAGTATCCCATGAGAGGACTTAGCTCTCAGTAAGCAGTGGCCCCAGAGGCTGCAAAACAATTGCTATGGCCAGAGGGACACTCCTCTAGACAGGCAGCAAGCCTTTCCAGCCCCACTCTCCTGCTCTCTGCCTTCAGTTCCACTTGCACTTGCTGCAGGAGGAGGAAGCTAGAGCCAAGAGGATGGGGAATCCAGAGAGAAGCCAGCTCACATCAGATTGCTGTCACTGGAGACTGGGCGTGCTGGTCAGAGTCCTCCTGCCCCACACAGGAGCTGCTGCCAGAACTACTAGAAAGTTTCCACCCAAGGAGGAAGGGAGAATAGAGCCAGCTACTGGGACAGCCAGAGCAATCAAGAGGGAAAATATATTGTATCATCATTGCCCCTGACAGGACAAGACACACTGTCTTCCCCAGGAGACTGGATTTCCAACAGTGACGATTAGCATATCTGAGCCACTAATAATTCAGGACAGAAATGGGCCTCAAAGGAACTGAGAAGTGTCTGAAGCAGGTATGAAGACAGAGGACCAGAACTTTGTCTACATTTATCAGCTGGTTTAAAAGAGAACCTCAGGGGCTGGGGCTGGGGCTCAGAGGTAAAGCGCTCCCCCCTAGCATGCAAGAGGCACTGGGTTCGATCCTCAGCATCACATGTAAATAAAATAAAGATATTGTGTACACCTATAACTAAATAAATATTTAAAAAGAGAGAGAGAACCTCAGTGTTGTAGAGATGCATTCAATTTGTTGAGACTTGTGAAGCTGTTTCTATAATATATGATCCTGGATTGTTGTGTCCTTCTTATGTTCCTGGCACTTCCCATAATGATTTTCTTCTTTCTATCGCTGTCAGATGTAACATCTTCCAAGCCTGTTGGATGGGATGTGAATAAGTAAGGGTGCGTCAATGACTGACATCACAGTTCACTTGAGCTTGAGTTGCCTGCATCCGTTTTGTCTGTGGGACCTCTTATTCTTCCTTTGCTACTGTTCTAATAGACAAGGTTACTGAGACTTTGGTTCACTCTAGACATTATATAATAGACATTATATAATAAAATACTGTGATTTCTTGTGTTAAAAGGGATTGTTTGGCTTATTTTTCAGGAGTTCAGATACTTTTCCAATAGGTTTTTTAGTGACTTTTGTGATTGAATATTATTTAAAAGTAGATTTCTCTCTGCTTTTCTGGGGGAAAAAAAGGAGAGGGAACCTCAGTTGTTTAGTCAGCTTGAAACAATCTCAAATTAATTACTAAAAAATCCCTAAACTTCTTGATGAATAATATTGGAAATTAAATTAAACAGGCTTTGAATGCTTTTTCTATGCAGATGTGATATGCAGATGCTAGTTCACGATAAAGGGGGGCGTGGCTAGGGAAGAATAAAGGTAAATTTGGATTAGACAGAGGGAAGTACAGGGAGGGGAGGGGTGGAGGATAGGAAGGACAATAGAATGAATCCGACATTATGACCCTGTGTGCTTATAGGATTACATGATCTGTGTAATCCTATATCATATACAACCAGAAGAATGGGAAGTTACACTACTACATTTATGTATGATATGTCAAAATGCATTCTATTGTCATGTATAACTAATTAGAACAAATAGAAAATAAAAATAAATTGAACCTAGGCTTTTTCCCCAAGAATGGAGCAAAATCCCTATCTGTGCTGGGAAATGAGGTGTGCATGCTCCCGGGGTCCGATGTTGGCCCTCCACACAGCTGTTTTTCACCCGGACGTCTTTGTGGTTTTTTTTAGAGACTGGATGTTCACCCAGAACTTTCACAGGTCCCTTACCACATCCTTGCTTCCCAGGCTGCAGATGGAGGCAGCAGGTTTGCTTGGATGGGACACACAGCAAAATACTGAGGGGTGCAGGAGGAAGCAGCTGTCACCCACTGGTTAACCCAGTCATAGGGGAGATGGAAGGAGCAGGCAGCCAAGGTTCCTGGTTGGAAGGTTTTCACATGAAGAGCAGAGAGGAAGGGGAGGGCATAAAAGACCATGACAAGTCCAAAGGAAACGATCTACCTCGAGCACCCATCCCAGCATGGTGGAGCTGTCCACCTGCCTGCTCGGCTCTCAGGTGGAAGAGACTGTGCACAGGATGGCCAGGATCCCCAGCACCTCCCAATATGGATAGTGGATTTTTCTAGCTCTAAAGATCAGCAGACCATGGCCTAGGATGCATGAGCCGTGAAAGGACGCATAATCTCTCACAGTAATTACTTCAAACTTCAACAGAATCTATGAAGTTCAATAGGAAAGCAAGTTCCAGTGTTCCTCAGCACCGTGGGCGACTGTACTCCACAACACCCTGTTCTGTTTCTTAGGAAGAGCTGAAAGAGAGGCACCCAAAGGCCACAAACGTAATGAACTGACAAAGAGATGGAACCGCCATCATCACAGTGTCCCCTAAGCATGTTCAGCCATTTCATGTTAACTAAAAACAAAGCACTTTAAATGTCAGACATTATTTTTTTTTCTTTTCAAAGGCCACTTTATTGATGGAGACACAACTGGATGGAGTTCTCCGCAGCCCTCCCTCACTCCCATCAGTGGCTTCACGGGGCATCTGAGAGCAGTGTGGCCCATCGCAAGCCCGGGCTGGATGCTCGGCCAGCTCTGTGCTGCCCACTGCAGTCAGGCGGCCACATATTACACGTCACAGCTCATGAAGATTCATGGATACACCTCTCAATCCCCGAAATGGTGTCTTTGCATTTTTTTAATATTATACAAAATATGTTAACTAGGAAAGGTTAGCTGTGCTGTGTCATCTGTAGGACGTCCTTTCAGGATTATCGTCCATCAAACATGACTTTTTATTGCAGGAAAACCTCTAAAAGGTGTGACTGTACAAAAAAAGGAAAAAAAATCTAGATTTTTAGGAAGAGCAGTAACTTAACACTGCTTTAGTTCATTTAAATTTTCTTTCCCAAAAATACATTCCTAAATATACAAACTATACAATCTTGACATTTTTAATGCTGGTTTTTTTTTGTATTTTTTTAATAATAACAATAAAACCCAAACTAAAAAATCGGTTCATCTTCAAACCAACAAGAGCTAGAGGACTTGTGACTCAGTATCTTCATATAACACCACATAAATAACTTTAGCCACAGTCAACATTCACAGCGTGGTCAGAGGGACAAAGGGAATACTTTTCTGGCGATTAGACATCATCTGGGGAGAAAGCTGGGATGTTCATCCGAGGCCGGGTGAAAAACGCCATCTTCTCCCTGAATGACTGCACTTCTGGAGGCTCCTTACAGCTTTGGCCGCGCAGCCTGTGCACGTCCTTCGCAGCCGCCCTCATCATCTTGTCTGTCTGCAGCTCACCCTTGTGCTCTGTGCGGTCCATCCTCTTCTCTAGCATCCTCAGCAGCAGGTGGATGCGCTCATCCTCGCGCAGCCACTGTGGCAGCTCCTTCTCCCTGTGGCTCTTGGCTTGCTCCAGCCGCTCCTTGAGCTCCCGCAGCACCGAAGTCTCCTGAGTCAGTTGGCTGTGCCAGGTTCGCGTTGCCTGCAGGTCCAGCTCAAGGTCCAGCGAGGTGCGGATCAGGCGCCCGGTGCACAGGGATTTCACAGAGGAAGGCCGCTTCATCCTGACGCTGCGCTGCTCCAGGGAGTTTCGCACAAAAGGTGGCTTTTTGGAGAGAGTGGAGCTATCACTGTTGCTCCGATTCAGCCGGCACACGTACTGGCTCTGGGGCCCTGGGGAGAAGGTCTTGGAGCGGATGATGGTGCTCCCCCTGAAGAAATGGCCCTGGCGATGGGGTGCCCACACGCCGGTCCTTGAGCCGCACCACTGTGGGGGATGGGGCCACTGTGTCTGTGTTGGTCTCTTTATCCACCTTCAATGCCTTCAATGCCGGGTGATCATCTGGGGAGGCTTTCTCTGCAAAAAAAAAATCTTCTCCCTCCGCTTCCTCCCCCTCTTCGTCCTCCTCCTCCTCAGCCACAGCCTCATTCTCGCAGGTCTCCTCCTCGTACCTCCAGCTGTCTTCTAGCACCTGTGGGCTGCTCCTGCTCTCCTGCCTCTTCTCTAGCTCCACTGCCATCTGCTCCAGCAGGGCAGACACAGCGTCCATGCGTTCAGGCCCTGGGCTGGGGCCCGCAACTCCAGCTGCCTTGGGACCGCTGCTCTGCTTCTTCAAGTATTTGTAGCTCAAGAGGTTGTACCAGCGAGTCGACCTCTCCCCAGAGCAGCACACCTCTGCCAGTCTGATCTGGGCACCTCTCAGGCACTCTTCCACGTGGCTCCTGTCAGTGGTGCAGACATCGACTCTTAAGGTCTTCTGGTGAAGGGCTTGGTAGGACACCGACACCCAGAACATCTCGTTGAACAAGAGGGTGTCCGAGGCGTCCAGGAACCGGGTCCTGAATAGGCAGGTGGTGCTTTCAGAGCAAGGGAGGATAGCCACGAGGATGTTCACTCTCTGATCTTGCAGCAGGGAAAGAGCAGAAAGGTTACTCAGTTGGATGATTAATATTGCAAATTGTTTATTCTTCTCATCATACTTCAGGGCAATCTGAATCCGAGTGGCACCTGCTGCTTCTGATTCATCACTGTCGAATGCAGCAGTGGCTTCTGAAGCACCCAGTCTCTGCACAGAAGCCTGGTACACACCACTGTCCCCAGCCACTGACTCGTCTGACACTGTGGCTGAGACACAGGCCACTTTGAGGCCGCACCCTTGGGCTGCATTCACAGCTTGGCCCAAAGGCTTGCCCTCTGCTCCTGGTTCTTCCAGCCGGTATCTCTCCGGGGTGCCGCTCCTGAGGCTCAGCTCACACAGAGTGGCACTTAGCTCTGGGTCTTCAAACTCCACTGGGCTCAGAAAGGTATCTCCAGTCAGAAGGGGGTCAGCAATGAGAGGGGAGCAGGGCGGGGACGGGGAGGAGAGGGAAGAAAGTGGGGACAGGGAAGTCATGGACTTTGGGGTGCCAGACAGGGAGCGCAGGGCCGGCAAGCGGCCACCTCCCTCTGCCTTCTGGGTCTTGGCCACCTCGTCCTCCTGGATAGTGGTGATGCAACCCGAGGGCCGGAAGCCCGTGGTGCCTTCCAGGAGCAGAAGCTCCACCTTGCCTGGTGGCCTCCTCCAGCTCTCTGACCAGCTGGTTCCTCTTGCTGTTTAACTTTAACCTCTCTGTCAGCGCCTTGCTCTGGGTGTCCTGGGCTGCCTGCAGGTCCTTCTCCAGACGCTTCGGAGCCATCTCCAACTGTTCTACCTCCCCCTGGGTCCACTTCCGGGGGATGATGAAGCGCATCTCCTTCAGCAGCTCCTCCTCGTTGATGAGGATCAGCTGGTCCCTCTCTGAGTCTAGCACCCCGGGCCAGGCCTCACTGTCGAGCTTGGCCAGCTGGATCTTCAGGTTGGCGATCCTTCTCTTAGCCTCTTCATATCGAAGACACAGTCTGACCTTTTCTGCCAATTGATTGTTGCCGCTGGTGCCGAAACTTCCCGAGATGTCGGTCTGGGAGCTCACGTCCAAGTACTGTTTCGGCAGTGGGAAGCCTGAGCTCTCCAGAGAGCTGCTGCTGGACCACAAGTCGCAGTGAGACCCTCTGTCGGTGCAGAAGCCATCCTTGAGCTTGGTGAGGCTCTTAAGGAGATCTTGCTTTTCCTTTTCCCCACAGGTGATGGCCTTCTTGATGGCTTTGGTTTCTCTCAAGACAGCCTGAGCTTCATCCAGTTTGCCCTGGGCATCAGACATTTTCTTATCAATTTTCTTCAGGGTCTGAAAACCGCGCTCTTTAAACTGTAGCTCATGCTGCAGGTGAACCATCTCTCTCTTCAGCTTGTTGACCGGGGATTTTGCAGCGGCAATCTCGGCTTTCAGGATCTCGGGGTCATACTTCGAGCTGGATGATGAGCCAGAGACCAAGCTGACCTGGGAGCCCAGCTTGTGCTCCCAGACGGCATGCAGCTGCTGATACTCCTGCTGCGCGAGCTCCAGGCGCTGCTGCTTCACCTGGTAGATCTCCTTTTGTGCACTCAGAGCCTCCTGGGCCACCACCAGGTAATCCTTCAGCATGTGCTCCTGCTCCCGCCGCCATTGTACCGGAGGATCCTCAATCTGAGTGGTTTTGGTGTTGTGGTCTGTGAAGTAATCTCCAACTTGTGAGTCATACGCCTCTTCCCATCCCAATGGCAGCTCATCACTAATGCAGTCAGCAAAGGTGAGCGGTTTGGTGTACCTGTCCCTCAGATCGATCCAGCTGGTGGTGCGGTTCGTGTGGTCTATGTAGTAGACCTTGCCGTCGAAGTCG